AGACGATTTAGCAGCTCCCCAGTCAATGATATTTTCAGTGTTAGTTTCATTATTTTTTTTTCCTAGTTATTTTTCTTTGCATTTCCTTCCTATGATTTCACATTTATTCGTAATTTCGAAATACATACATACTGTCAAAAATTTGCAAAAAGATTGATAATTTACAACTGCTGCTACTGCTGTGGAATGTCTTTGCCAATTGAATTCCGACAAAAAAAAAAAAAAGAATTTGAAATGATGTAATGCGCCCGTACAGTGCACTCTTCTGTTTCTTTTGCAAGCTTTTTTTTTTTCACAGTGATTGATGAAGAGCGACTCGTTTAATGTTACAGTCTGATGTCTAATTAGGTGTCAGGAAGCTGTTTAAAATGTGCTCGAAGAAGCCCTGTGCACAACTGATAGCAACATTCGAACCAGAAGCAATGTTACATAGTGTACAGTGTATGCGTGTGTATGTGCGTGTGTGCGTGTGCGTGTGTGTGTGTGTGTGTGATGTGTGTGTATATATAAAAACCTTAATTCTTACTGGAATTGGACTTACTTTGGGTATTTATCACTCAAAATTCCGGCCTTTATGAACTGCTGATTCTTTTAGCGCAATAGCGCGGTTTTGGTTATCAATCCTTGTAACGTCCTAAATTTTCTTGTAAACCATTTAATGCCTGGATTTTTTTTTCGACCCAACTTCCTCCTGACCAGTGTATTCGAATAAGCGAAAAAAACCAATTGTGCCTTCAAGATAGCAGCAACTTGTGAATACCTTTTTTTTGCTTATTTTGGTGTAGCTAAAAGATGAAGATCGTCTGACTGCGACCATCTTAAGGACTTTTAGCGATATGGATATAGCAGTACTGTGGAAGATATGTCCATTTCTGTAGCCTGTTTATTTTTAGTGTCATACTCTGACGACTTTACAATGCAACAAGTGCCGGAGACAAAGCGTTACGTTCGAAGAGCTGACGCAACTCTCGGTTGACGTACCAGATCGGTATTCATCAACAGTTGAGGAATGTATTCGGAATT